CGCCCCAGTGAGATTATCGGGTGTCAACTTCCATCTGGCATTTGTCAAAGCTGGGGAAAAAAAAAAGGCAGTTCTTATCAGATCTCCAAATAAAAGGAGCACTTCCACTTCATGTGGTAGCAACTGGAAAAATTTCTTTTGTGTTTGAAGCTTTAAAAATATCTTGCCCTTGAGGCTGGCTAAGTCTGTTCAGTGCTTCGAGACCCCTTTCCCATACAAAGGTAATAAAGCTAAGCTTATGGTTACAGAAATTCCCAGCACATAAAAATTACAGGAAGCTGTTGCTAAGTAATATTTCTACCTAAGTAAACATCACAAAACGTTTCCCACGCACACCTCTGAACTTTGTTATTCAAACCTGCCTTGAAGATGTTCATAGTTGCAGAATTTCTTCTGCCACCGGTCTCTTCAAAAGCACTCGGTGCTATTTCACAGCAGTTGAAAGACATTTCAGTCTGAGCAATGTTTTTCTGAGTGCTTTGTGGTGTTGCTTGTACTAGGAAACAAAGCAAGCTACTACAGCTACTCTTCAGTTCCTTACCTGTCCCCTACCCGTCCCAGAATTTTCCCTGGATAAGTCACAGGAAAATTAAAGAGAGATTCTGTTGTATCCCTAGTGTCCAGATCTGCTTCCCCAACATCATAAAAAAATCTGGACAATCATTATTATTTTCCTACAGTACCTTTCTTTAGCAGCTCCTTCGCATGGCAATTACTCCAGACTGTCGTCCCTTCTATCAGCTCTGTTTTACCGTCCTCTTCAATGGGCCCAAATGGTTTCATATACTTTCCGCTTTCTTTTCAAGAGGTTAATATTTTGCAACAAATTCTAGATTGCACTAATTGAGAGACATAACTTTTGTTTTTATCGCATAAAGCAAGATAACAGACTGAAGAAAGAGTCTATCTACAAACCTGAAATGGCCCACATTCTTAGTAACTCAAACTTCCTGGTAGCGTGAAGTCCCAAGATCAAGAAGATAACAGGCTCCTACAAAGGTTTCATTCACGATGAACAGAGAACTTGAATTTCATCGTATCATCTAAGGAACGAAGCCCGTATTTCAGATATTCATCCTTATATTCCAGGAACATGGCCCTTCACGGGACTGTCCGATATTGCAGATTATTTTCCTGTTCATTTTTATTTTGCCATTCCACTTTTCCTTCCTATCACCTTACTCACGTCCAGATGACCCAATATGCAAGTAAAAGGCTGAACCCGCCTTTGTAATTAGACTGTCAAAAACATCAGACTGCTTCAAATTATGTATGGACAGAGAAGACTGACTGCAAAGAGAATTGGCAGGAAATCCTACTTCAGAGGGAATTGTTCCTTCCGCAAGTGGAGTGACAGACATATAGCATTTTTATTACATAAAAAAAAAAGTGGAAAAAAATGCAGACTATGAAAATCATGTTTGGCAGATCTAGACTGAGGTCTAGGACGTGGCATTTCCAACATTTTTGTTGTCTGCATTCTTCAGCAAAGACGCTCTCTGTATGAACATGCTGCACCTAACCAAGAACTATGTTTTTACAGCAATAAAAGTAAGTACGTATGTAAAAAAAACCCTTATAAAAACATGGGCTGAAAAGGTACAAAACCTCCAGAACAGGAACAGCAGTTGGCTGCCATAAACAGCATAAGGCTAGACCCAAATTCCAAACAGACTACATATTTCCCTCCCTTCCTACCTAAAATATAACATGAGTTGGCCTTAATTGAACCGACTTGCTTTTCACACCAACACAAGTAATTTCGAAAAAAGAAGAGAAAACTTTCGGGAAACACATCCTGACCAATCTCAGTCTATGGTATATCCACCTACACATCTTTGCACTCAGACACAGATTCCTCAATATTGAAACTGTTTTTCCAAACCATGCAGCTGCCCACAAATCATTTCAGTTCCTCCAACCGGTTTCATCCACAACCTTAGCTCTAACGTCTGTAAGAAGATCCTTTACTTTGTTGTCTTGAACATGTTATCACCAACTGAAAAAATTTCTGGGCTGGAGTTATAGCTGCAAGGATGATTCAGAGACTTGGATGTGTGCCTCAGAGATAATTATACGCTATAACTGAAAGTTAGTTTTGGAGTTAACTGGGATATCTGTGCTGATTAAAATAAATAAATACCAAAGACGCATGATCAATATGAGATGTGCCAGGGATAACGTGAAGGAAGCAGGCACGGGAAGGTCAGGGACTGGTGTGGAAGAGATGGGGGACAGACCCCACTCCAACCCCAGCCGTTACCATCTCCCTTCCCACCCACATGAGACCTTTCTGTGACATCTTCCAGCGTTCCCACATGTGCTCTCTCCAACTTCTTGCCCATCTCCTAATTTTCTCCAGCAAGACTCAAAGCTTAGCAGGCTGGAAAAGCTTGCCAGCTGGGACTTGTCTCTGTCAATTGACACACAGTCTGTAACATCAAAACAATCAATATTTACATATTCTTTAAGGATTTTTTCCGGTAGACAAAACAGCAAACAAAATATCCTGACCCACAGTCGCAGGGCAGCCCTGCTATCCAGCACTGCTATTAGTTTAGACAGCAACAACTTCCCATGCAGAGATGCAAACCAAACAACAGCAAACAGGAGATTCCACACCAAGTTTTATGAAACAAACTAGGGGTGCAAATAACCTGCGTTAAAACAAACAACACACAAAACCAAACTTCCCCCAAGAAAGTTATACTGAAATAGCTACATTTCATTCCAGCATTGGCTAAAAGACAAAGAGCAAAAATCAAAGAGGGGAATACTCTTAAAACCAGAGAGATGGGAGACTTCAGCACAGCATTAGCTGCTGAAGATTCCCAGATAAGCTGGAAAAATGCAGAGGGAAAGATTTCATGACAGTAATACCCTCAGTACTAGGAGGTGCTATGAGGCTCTTCAGGCTAAGGAAAGCCAAAGTACAATTCACACAAGCTTATTATAAGCTTGACAAAACAATTACACACGCTAAGGATACGTTACGGCTGGCACGAGAACAGAGAACACAGCGATTACACCAACAGGTTCACTAAATAAATGTCACTTAATCTCTACCATAGTCACTAGCGTGCATGTGTGTTGGAAGTCTAAAGGCTACTCAAAAAAGTCTAAAAAGTCTAAAAGACTACTCAAGATGCTAAAATAACTTTAGAAGCATACAGGCAGGTGTCACAAGGCACAACATACTACAGATACCAGCTTGTTGAGGAACCAATAAATAAAAGTACAAATCTTAGCATTCAAAACAAAGACAAGCGTGGCTTGTTAAGTGGTTTTCAAAATGCATACCAGTTACAGCCAAAATATGTAGGAGATCGCTTCTCTAAATCCTCTACGAAGAGAACAGAAGACCAGATGAGAGCATCTCTATAGAATCACTATTGAAACCATTTTCAAATTCAAATTTCAATTTCAAAGTCAAATGGACTTACTAGCTTGGCTTCCTTAAGCAACTAAGCTAAGATAGTGTGTGACGCTGTACGGGTATCCTCCAACAAATTTAGCTGAATTTGTACAAGAGGCTCAGGAGCTGAGATTTCTGCCCCAATGGTAAAATATTACATTCCTGCAGGTTTCACAGAAATAGGCAGTCCTATAAAGGAGAGACACCGTACATTCCAGTCTGCTGTAGCACAGACCGAGAAAATTCACAGAAATGAGGGATATTATGAATGGTCTAGCCACAGAAGAAGTTTCGGTTAGATCTTTAACCTTACGAAATAACAGAAAACATAAAACACGAATGCGTAAGAAACCAGGTTTCAGTGCTGATAATAACTGAATACTGAAAGAGTTTATAAACTGAAACACTTTATAACCTTATTTTTCATTTTTAAAAAGGAATACACATACACGCTTGCATCTTCTTGCTCATACCCTGCTATTCTGGCGACAAAAAATAACCACTTTCTTTAAAAGGAAGCTAGACGATTTTGGGGTGAGGAGTAGCAGAGGGGAAACCACATTAATTTCATTAGTTTATGCATACTGGTAGGAATTCCTTCTCAAATTTGGCACTTAGCACTCAGAGTTGCCCTTTAAAGCTTGGCAAGAAATTCTCTCCAGCCCGCAAGTTTCCTTATTTCGTCTTAGGACACACTGCTTCATTTGGATGCACTACCTCCAGAAAGACAGACAACTAAATGTGTCAGTTTTACCTCAGTTCACTTTGCTCCCCGTCAAGTCAGATTTAACATAAATCAAAGTAAATATATAATTAAAAATAAACTTAAGGTCAGTTCCAAGTTTGGAAAAAACAAATCTGTATGAAATTAAAAGCAACCCTAATACAGTTTAAGAACTGGAGTTCGGGGGTTGCAACAGCAGCTAACTTTCTGAACATACCTTCTCCCCTGAACCAAAACCCCAGGCTCAAAGCCCTGCCCAGGACTCCTGCTCTGGGCAACCCCCGTCCGGGTCCTCTCTCCTCCTTCTTTTCCCTTCAGGTCTGACTTGGCTTCCAGCTTCTTACTCTGTGCAAATATTGCTCACTCATCCACATATCTTACATCTTTTTATGGCAGGAAGGTTTCAATAAAAATGTAATTGCACCTTTCTAGAGTTGGGTTTATTCCATGAAGACTTTTCCCCGCCGTTCCATTTCCGCCTGCTGCAGCCTTGCAGTCAATCTGGACTTTTAACCCCCTATCCAAGCCCCAACAGAGATACTAATACCACTAACTATTAGACAAGATACCAGTTGCACTCACAGTCCATTAAACTTGTGAGCTCTGGGTAGTCCCTAACTTTCCAGAGAAACCAAACAGAACATTTTGGGATACATTATTCACATAGGTGAAAGAACTGCTAAAACAGCCCCATCCCAAAGGTTCTCTCTTCACCTGTGTAATGTCAATTTTGAGCCTCGCTTTTAGGAACCTGTGCTTAAAGGTAGCAATTAATAGGTACCTATTAGCCCTCCGATAGATCTGACAGGTTAAAAATTGACAGCAAAACCACAGCTGACATACATCACTCTGCAGACTCACCTCTCTGACAGCGATCGTGGGTCCAGCAGCGTTCAATGAAAATGCCATTTATCACAGTAGGCGGACAGTTGCTCTTCCCTTTCACAGTTCCCGGACACACATCTCCACACTCTTCTTTGTCATCCTTGTTGGCCACGATGTAATTGTCTTCTACAGAATCCAAAATCCTTGACCAGTCGATCGTGGACAAGTAACATAATTCGTTGTTCTTCTCAATCCGCACAGCGCCGCGAGTAATGTTCATCAGGTTATAGAGGCCGATCTCTTTCAGGTGAACCATCTCAAAAATGACTAGTGCGTAGTTAAAAAACAGATGAGTTCCTCGAATCACAGTGAGGTTAGGGAAGAGTCCCTTTAAACTCTCCAGGCCGTACACACGAAAAAGAAGCAAGTAGTCTGTAATCATAGTCAGTTTAGGAAAGCTGAGCTCGCGGAAATCTTCAGGCTTGGTTTTAAACATCAGCAATATTTGCAAGTGGCCCTCAATCACAGTGCAGTTCTCAAGCATGTTCAGCCGGGTCAGATTGTTGCGGATGTCCATGCTTCTGCAAACTGGAAGGCAAAGAACGATGTTATTTATTTAAGAAAAGGTAATTGGTTTCGTTTTCTAAATACACAGTTTTGTCCAACCGCACCATAATAGCTACGCTCAGAAGTCACGACTAGGTCCTTTTCAGTAAAGCACGCTTTAAGTGTTAAGAAATATACTGTGGGGAACATTCCCTTGTATACGATTACAAAATAAGACTGAAAGAGTATTTCATAATTTTTTCTGCCATCTTGAGTTTCTGGATATTACCTCTATCACGACTGCAGTTGTAACACCAGTCCTTAGACGTCATTTGGCATTTACAAAAGTAAGAGATGTCTATGCAACTGAGTCTGTTTTCTTTAGATAGTTGCCAGCGACACACCTACCTCATCTCAGATTGTGCAATTAATGCCAGTGGATTAGAGGGAGTAATTTAGAATGGTTGCAGGGAGGGGAATATAGGAAAAGAATAATGGCTAGGAAATGGTAGTGCTTCGGAAGAGAGCAGAAAAACCTGGAAATACACACATGTAAGAGCACAGCCCACACTCTTGCCCAGACCTTGCTGACAGGAGTAATTTGCTACACTAGTAATTTTTTGCCCTAAGCATTCTTTTCAGGTTAGGTGTTTGGACTTTTTTGTTATTATTTTCTCAAGGTTGCAAATCTCCCTGCCTTGACTATCCAGATAGTTTATTTAGTAGAAGCAGTAACCCAAAGAACTGGCAAAGTGAACAATTACATGAAGCGTAAATGAAGGTAAACAGAATAATATGAATCCAGGCACCAGGAAAAGGAAAAGACGGAAAGCAAAAAGATTGAATAGGGAAATATTTTTTTAACTCTAAGCACAGGTAAGAAATCAAGAAGGAAATTTAGAGCACCACGCCTGTATAGCACAACAAATGTCCCAGTGATAACCCTTTTAGAACCAAACTTCATAGAAATATACAACTAGACCTTAATGTTCAAGGGAGAAGCTTGTGGAAAGGCAAGCCTGCTTGGCAATACAATGGTGCAAAAACAACCGTTCCCCTGTCCTGTCCAGGTGGATTCTTTTTTAATTTTTTTTTTTTTTTTGTAAGACTGCATCCACTTTAAGGATTCTTTCTTTTGAATGCAGCTGAGAGCCCCTGCCCCCTTCCCCCCCACAAGAATTAAAAGCACAGGATCTTTACGCTTTTTGTCACTGTAAAGCTCACCGACTATAAAATTACCATGTCACAGTTTCAAGAAATCACCCAGCAATAATCGGGCCTTACAAAATTGATGTAGAGACAGATGTTTAATAGTTACAATCGTCTGACTCCTCACGGTTTTACACAGACCGCTGCTGTGTGGGTTAAAAATAAATTCTATGCAAACGTCTTAATGATTATTCAAAAATTTGCTCCACCACAATAGAAAAAATAAATCTGGCAACACTAATATAGGATTTGGAGCAATGTTATTGCCCAATGGGATTTTTTGGCACTATATCCAAGTCGTTTCATAAATTGCTTTCTGGAAGAAAAAGCTAATTCACACAGTGCCTCAAAGATCAAGGATGTACTTTTCAAAAGTGGGAAAGGAAATCTGATGACCAACTAGCAGCAACCTCTTTGCCCCATGAAAAACTGCAGCCAAACTGGAAGTAAGCCAGAAAGCTGTCTTGCTGCACATCCCAATCGTGGGCTAAAAGAACTGGGAGAGCAACAGATTCAGTTTAAGTACTCTAAATATTTACTTTAAATAATTAAGATAGGTATTTCCAAGGAAGCAAGTGTGTGACAGGGCAGGCCAGTGGTTTCTTCATGAAAAGAGAAACAACAGGACAAACAAAACTCAAACACTGAAATTCAAAGTACAAGTCACCAGTGCAGCTAAAATTATCTGATAAATTCAAAATCCAACGTCTTTGTTCTTACTTACTGCTTGCTGAGCACACAGGCAAAATACAGCATGCTGAGGTGGTACCCACAACCATACTGTATCACAGTATTAAGTACTACCTAGAGTCATTTGAATGTATACAGCTGACCTTAAGCAAAAAGGAAAGGTCAAAAAATACAGCTCAACCCTACAGACTAAGAATTACTTTCACGAGTAAAAGTTCTAGGCTTTTATTGTGGCTCAAGGCCACAAAATGCATCTATACATTCAGAATAATTACCCGAGTCTTTCATCATTTCAACTAGAATTAGGTAAGTCACTAGAAATTGGCCACCAGCTGGCCCCCAGATAACCCCTTAATCCACAGAGCTATCCCTGCTCCGAGAGCACGGCTAAGAAGAGACAGGTGAAGCTTGGGACTAAACAGCAAAGCATTTTGAAGTGTTAAATAATCATATAAATCTACCAGAGCTGGACGTCCACAATCCATCAGTTGTTTGCATTTTGGAAATATTTTTGTATTTTTCACCAGCTCTCATACAGAACGCATTATTTGTAGTTAGTGCTGCCAGCACAGACCAGACAGGAGATTCCACACATCCTGGCAAACCAGGATGTGACCCGAGTTATTCAAACTCTGCTGCTCTCAAAGCTGAGCAACAGCAATGTAATAAACCGGCACATTGTCTGCTATGCTTAAGGGCTCCCAATACTGGGAGCTTCTGCTCAAGTCCTGGTAACAGAAGGCAATGCCAGACGCTGATGTGAGTCTGGTATAGAAACTTAGGAGGAATTTACAACAAATTAGAGGTTTGTTTCTGAAATAAACAATTGAATAAAAGGCTAATATAATTGTAAATCTCAAAGATTAAAAGCATTTATACAGATTTTTCCACATTTAGAGAAAAATCACACTCAAGAACTATTTTTCACGTTCTGCTTCTGTTTAGTTTTTAAGTGATAAATACCACCACGGTATCGGAGCTCCTTTTTTTTTACCACCTCAAGGATCAAGGACAATAATAAGGAATTAAGAATATCCAAAACAAAATATGCTTTTTTGTTGGAGGGTTCTCGATCTTTTCAAGCTTTTGAATTCTGTTCAGCAGTTTGTATTTTCTGTTCATGCAGTAGCTGCTTAAGTCAGCCCATAAATTTATTGTTACCAAGACAGCAAGAAGCAGTTTTAAGCAAAGTAGTAAGTGTTTTTCCACAGCTTCCCTCGATAGTATTTCTTCTGCAGGGACAGGGGAATTAATCAACAATTCAGTATGAAGGCTAGGCAGGTTTGCTTCCAGAAGAAGGAGAGCAAAGTTGAGCAGTCAATTATAAGACAGACAACCTGGTTTCAAAAAACATACAAATTAGCTTTCGGGGAAAGAAAAATCTCAAATTGCTTCTCCAGGAGTAGGCCCAAAGCTACTCCTGTTCAAACTACTGGCAAAATCTCTACTAAACGTAAATTCCTAGATTTCAGCAGAAACAGGCTCCATGTCCAGCAGCAGAGCGTTACACTGCCAGAGAGGAAACACTCCTCCATCCCTAGTTATCAAGCTATTCAAAGTAATTTAAAAAAAATAAAATCATTAGAGACATGTTTCATCAGACCCCCAAGAAAAAAGTTGCAAGGCATGCTTTTTAAAAACAAACAAAAAAATCCCAAGATGCCAAAGCCTCTTGAACAAACTAGTTTGGTAACAACCTTAAAGTACTGAATGAAGAAACTAGATCTGATGTCAGAGGTTAGTTTTCAAGATAGAGTCTAACAGGGGAATAGCTGGAACTTAAGCCTTGTTTATAGTAAACTATGTGGATACCAAACCTTAATGATTCACTGCTTCAGAGCTCTGGCTCTTTAACAATCAAGACCAGGATAATGTAGCATTGCACAGAAAGATCACAAACCATTTAAGATAATTATTAGTTAATTCCGCATTTTTATAGTGTTTGCTGCCTACTTGAATAAACAAATTATTTAAGAAAAATTACACTCACTTTGGCCAAGTCAAAAGCTTTGTGATTCTATATAAGGCTGACTTTTAGAAGTGGTGTTAAGAAGTCGGAAAAGGGCTTTCGGATGTTTCTTGGGATAACTGCTGAGACAGGAAAATGTCCTGTTAAGTGACAGGTTAGTAGAAGGGACTGTAAGACAGCTTCTAGCCTACTGTAGCAACAGTATAATAAACAAAAATATCCAATTGTGAAATATTAATTTTTAAACTTCAATTTTCCTCCTCAGCCATTTAGATCTGAGCAATGAAGAAAACTGAGATGTGGACTCAAAAGTGAGCCTGTCTATAAACCTCCAGCCCCCTCAGATAACATCTCAGATGCCTGTTATCCTTCAATACTCAAGACAACGCTGCTGAACTGAGGGCAAACCGCTCACGGAGGTTGCTTTCTTTAATGCCAAAAGCACATATAGCCTCACAGTCCGGCTTATAAAGCCTGGTTTGCTATATCATTACGCTCTCCTCATTCAGTTCAAAACATAAACTGAAAACACGATTCATACTGCTATGCTTCCCATGCAAACACAAAAGGCAGTGAGGCGATAGCATCCCAGGACCAGGGGAGATCACTCAGGGTAACGGGCAGAAGTCAATGCTAACAGAGCTTAAGATCCTCATGACTTCAAAGGGAGCAGGAACAGGTTTTACACGTTGCCAATATCAACACAATTTATATTCCGCAAGACAGTCACCCCAAAATTGGCCTCCAGAAAGCTTATGGGTTTTACAGACTATTCAGAAGACAGTTAGTGTACTACCTCTCTTTAAAATAGCAAGAGGACACACTGGGGTACCTGATAGACGCAGTTGCTGCCTAGTTTTGATATAGCCCTGCCCTGCCGCAGTTACTCTACTTCATACTCTCAGGACCAAAATTTCATTCTAGACCGAGTCTCTCAGCATCAAAAAATTAACACAGGGTTCAGGTGGAACACGGGACCAGTTTCTTAATGAGTTTACGAGCACAAAAAAAATCTGTATGAGCCGGAAATAATAATTAAGCAGCAAATTATTTTAAAAGGCTATTACTACAGAAATACCAGTGAAATTTGTCCCACTTGATGATTTAGGTAGAGAGCTCTCAGCTAGATTTCTAACTCCCACCGTCAGCAGTAGGCAATGGAG